TGACTAAGAACTCAAGGGGAGACGTGCGTGATTCCTGCCGGTTCCATAGTGAGAGCGGCGCGGCCAGATACATTTTGGGCGCTGCAGGCATATTAAATATATTATAAATATTTTTTCAGCGTGAGAAATACAATGTGTGGCGGGAGAGCGTGACAAAAGACCGAAATGAGTGATGTCACTCTCAATGCGTGACACTTGAGAGCCCTGTGTTGAATATTAAATGTCCCCAACTAAGCAAGCCAAAAGCCAAGGCAACAGTGGCAAGTGTGTGTGTGTGTGTGTGTGAGAGAGAGTTTTCATTGGGTTGTGATCAACACAACACACCTACAGTTATGTAGACACACTAAATAAGACATACACATAAACGAATCGAGGAAAATTGTTACATTGCTGACATTTGCTGCAAAACTTTTTGCACACAATCTACTATGTGCCTTTTATTGTCTGATTGATAGTTGGGACTTTTTTTTAGCCACTGAATGTATTTTAGTATAATTGTGCAAACATCCACCTTCAGCTCATGCTTCACATGTCTTTTTGCTGTGAAATCTTTACTGATTTTTATAAAGTAAATGTAAGAATAATTTGTATATTTGTTAGTAATACTTCAAGATGAACAATTGAAGCAACGTAGATTTACTTGATTATCAATACATAATTTGTTTTGTGAAAAATCATCAATGTGAGTATTAAATAAGGTACTCAACAAAAAAACACATGAAAATTTGTAGATTTTGTCTAAAAAGGTTCAATTTAACTGTTCCAGTTAAAAATATTATTAAGATTATTAATTCATCCGCAGGCTTTACAGGTTTAATTTGACACTTAGCTAACTGGCAAGCTTCATTAATAATACAATTATTTATCTTGAAAAATCTGTCATGGAAACTTGCATAAAGATAAATTCAATTCAGACACTGGTCAGGGATAGGGCTGGGTATCGTAACAAAATGTCGATACCGGTTCCTGAACGATACTTTTTTCGATACCAATTTTATGTAACCAGTTTTAACAATATAACATTAACATAGCTTGCACTGGCTTCCTGTTCAGTCGCGTGTTGCTTTTAAAACTCTCACACTAACATACAAAGCTATGCACGAAATAGCCCCTTCTTATATCTGTGACTTATTCAGCCCGTACGCGCCTTCCCGTTCCCTTCGGTCTACTGATTCACTTACTCTTCACACTTACTCTTCAGCAGCCTCCCTGTAGATTTAAATCTATGGGGGAGAGAGCTTTCTCTGTTGCTGCAGCCAGGTTATGGAACGCACTTCCTCTTATTGTCAGAGATACTCCTACATTAGCCAGTTTCAAGAAGTTGTTAAAAACTCTTTTTAAAATTGCTTATATTGACTGTCATGATTAGTATTTTACTGTGTTGTACTGTAAGGACTATTTTTGTATTACTCTTGTACTTCTGTATTTTATTTGTTTTTTACTGTCTGTAGTTCTTCGGCTTTCAGAAAAGTGCATTATAAATAAAATGTATTATTAATGTATTATTATTATTATTAATTCAGGCACTGGGTAGGTTACGACTTTTGTGAGAGCAGTTTTCAAAAGGGCACGCATTCTGCATTCTGCCAGCATCTGCATATCCAACACTCGTAACACAGTTCAGTGGCTGTGGCGCTTTCCACAGGGACCCCAATACGTCAGTCCGACGTAACGTTGAACGTGACTGACTGAATGGGAATGTCTATAATGTAACCCCCGTTCCTTGAAGGAGGGAACGGAGACGTTACGTCCCCCTGCCACAGCCCTGAACCACCATTGAATGGCTGGGATCCCTGTCTCAGCTTCTCAGCAAAACTTGAATGAAGTGAGTAATACCAGTTCTATTTATATTTATGTATTTCTGGTTAGGTGTGACTCGGCATGCAAATCTCACTGGCCAATGTTCATTGGCTCGTTTTGCTACCACTTGGAGGTTATTGGGCTCCCAGGCCAGACCCCAATACGTCAGTGCGACGTAATATCTCCATTCCCTCCTTGAGGGAACATGTTGATCCTGGAAAATTGGCATAAAATTGCCAGAAATTTTCTGTGTGAACGCAAACACGTTCCGGGATTGATTCCGGGATCAGTTCCGGAGCGCGCCCTGTGTGAACAAAAGCTGTAATCAATGGTGTAAGGGTGTGTCGTAGTGATGAGCTGAGATTAGTGGAATGGTACGTGATTTGTGATAGTTTATGATCGAATCAGAAAAAAAATGCACAAGCTTCATTACTCAAAAGAGAAATCGCAGATCATAAGCAAACTTAAGACGCTGTGGAGAAATTACACATCACATCGATGCCACGTGTCTTTATGGGATGTGTGTGAACTCGAGATTCCAGAAAATCACTGGCAGTGTTAATGAACAAAAATCAAACGATCTCGGTGTATTTCCTGGAATTTCTGTGTGAAAACGGCTCTATATATTTTTACACCCTGTTTGACATTTTCTCTAAGTTTTGTTCACAGATTCTTTTTTGCATGCTTTATGTGTGGTTTCCTGGTTTATTCTTACCGAATTCTGCATTCCATAGTCTCGATTAGATGTTTTCCCATTTGCCAAGTTCTTGATTAGTTAGTGGACCACAACACCTCACTGGAATAAATGACATTTGGCTCATTAACTCATTCTAATATGTTCAGTCAAATTCTAATTGGAATCCCTAAAGGCGTTTGTTGTTGTGTAGCATGGAAACTGAGCTCTCAGCTCATTCACAAGGTTGAGGTCGTCTGTGGATCGATTATAAGGGCAACATCAGGATGAATAAGTAGTATGACTGCTTGTTAATATGAATATGTTTTTATTGACTGAATGTGTTTTATTTTGATGTGACAGCATTTGTTCATTATTTAAACCCTGTGATGCTCCTCGTGTGATGGTCAAAAAATACCTTTTTTTATTTGAATGAAATGTATTTTAGTTCAATAATGTTTTTTATTTAATTTTAACATTTTTAGGGGATTCTATGGCACTAAATTATATTTATGCAGTAGTTATAATCCATTATTGCATATTAACCACTTTTTCAGCATTCAGCTGCAAATGAAATGTCCGAATTAAACTGCCGTAAATCTTAAATGCTTTCAGACATAAGTTTGATCTCTTTTTAAAAGGTATTTTAAATTTAGCAGATTTTTGCTGAAGTGCAAAACAAAAAGGTGAAATTAAAGAAAGAAAGTTATAAAAATGTATTGTTTATTGTTATGAAAAATGCACAATAAACTATTTTCAAATTTTATAAGAATGTATATTTTCCAAAACATGTTTTACTGAAAGAAAATCAAAGCAATACATCTAAACTATATAACTTTACAAACAAATTTTCAAGATTAGTAATAATTTTTATAATTTTTTATTATTTACAAAAAGAAAAGAAATGAATTCATTTTAATTTAGCAAGGACACAATGCATTTATCAAAAGTGACGGTAAATTATTTTTTACATAGTTTGTTAAAAAAAAAAAAAATCATTTTCAGCTTATCGGTGTTCTTTTGAACAAATAATCCTGAAAAAAAAGTTTCACAGTTTCCACTAAAAATATGAAGCTACACAACTTTTTTGATAATTAATATAATAACAACTTCATTGATAATAATCAGAAATGTTTCTTGAGCAGCAAATCAGCATATTAGAATGATTTCTGAAAATTCAACTTTGATCAGGAATAAACTACATTTTACAATATATTCACATCGAAAACAGTTCTTTTAAATTACAATAATATTTCACAATATTACTGTTTTTACTGTTTACTTTTGATCAAATAAATTTCAAAACATTCAAAAATCTCATCGACCCTGAACTTTTGACCACTGTACATCGATATGTAAACTGACATAGTTCTTGTTAGACTCTTGAACCGTGTGTTGAGTCTAAAACAAGCCAAACATTGTGTTACATTGAGCGCTCTCATAAAATCATGATCTCCCCAAAATATAAAGGAAAAACGAGATTTTTTTTATTAATTATTTTATTTCAGATTATGTTTTTAAACAAATATAATGTGTTTAATAGTTTCATTTTCCAAATAAGTCCTGCTTCTGTATGTTTTGAAAGTGTTTTCGCAGAGGAACACTGGCAGGGAGCCTCGCTCTGATATTAAGCGTGCTATCAGGCTCCCGGAGGGGCCCTTCATTGTCCCACCACACTCCACTGCAGCACCACTAACACATCATTTGTTACCACCCGCTTCACTGGTTTTAATTAGTGTCTCTGAATGCTGCCGCACAACAGAGGCTGGAAAAAATCAAACGCCACTGCTCCAAATTTGTTTGTATCTGCTCCAGTTTCACCAAGATCCTCCCTTCATACTGCCAAATACACAAGAGCTGTTTGAGTTTCTCATCTTCCTTCAAAATATTTTCTCTGTCAATATCATACTGTAACGGAGCTCTACTTCACAACCTCGCAGACGACATGTTTTTGTGGCAAACGCAGTGAGGAAGTTATATTTCATGTGTCGAATCCTGCTGGTGTGGAAAAGTTAACGTAAGATAGCAATCGTGTGATTTGTGAAGTAATGGGATCTCATGACCTCATGGGGTCTGTAATCATGTCTATAATGTTTTGAACAAAAGAAGAATCATATGGAATATCTTTTTTTTTTTTTTTTATAAATCCTTTTAAAAGCTAAACTATCCTCATGATTATCATTGGAAAAGCAGCTTGAATAGTCGTGTTTTTTTTTTAGTTTGAATGTGAAATAAAGGCAGTTCCTCTCAAAAATTGCAGTTTATTTCTCTCTAAAATGGAAAAGGTAGAATTAGTTGAATCATCTGTCATATTCTATAGGAAGTGGAGTGATATAGCTATAGGGGATATACTGTATTTATAGAAAGATCCAAATTTACCATTGATTTCCCACTTATTTGCAGTAACTTAAGATGTGTATGTGGGGAAGATAGTAAAGCTGCTACATCGCTGCATTCTTCTGTGTGATTTGCATGTTCATTTATGTCTATAATTACGAGTTTAAATCTTTTTTTTTTCATGTTTCAG